ACCTGCCGGAAAAGCAGGTTTAACTCGGTGTTTACGATACAAAACGAGGGTCGGTAGTTCATGGGGGGGGCTACCATATATATATATATATGTACCTACATATATATATATATACACATACAGATGTCTATCCAGAGTACTGCATTGCCGCACTAGTTCTGTCAGGGTCAGAACGAACCCCATGAGAAAGGGACTGTAATCGAAATGTAAGCCGACGGAGTTGAATGTTGTCAACTTTAGGATAGCCCCATGCCGAACCTGAATCAACGAAGTCTATCACCTGAGCTCATTGTCCCCCTAGCTATGGTCTTAGGCCGCATGATCAACTTTACGATTCCCGAGCTTGCATGTGGTTTGGCATTGAGGGCTCTGATCCTCTACTCGTAGCTTTTCGAGGTGCTGAGTTGCCTACATCGTGCACTGGAGCAGTCATTGGTTGGATGCTCAGGATTGCTCCCAGCGTGTCGAAACGCCCTGCAGCCCTGAATCCCAAGCGCGTGAAATGCTTTCATGTCCTAGACGCACGCATGGCCTACATCACTTCTGGATTGGACTGATCTGCCAATGTTGTCGTTCCTTGCACTGCTGTCTGATTAATTACTGCTAAATTGCTGTTATGGTTGTTGCCAGTTTCTCTGTTGTCACTGCTGTTGCTATGCTAGTGTATCTGTTTTCAGCATCATTTTTACCACTGTTGTTTGCCAACTATAATGATTTGGAAGCCTCAACTCGAAGCCGAAAATCCTAGACCTGAAACCCTCATCCTTACCTCAACCCTAAACCCCGTGAACCCTAGACCCCAGCAGCCCTAAACCCCTAAACCCAAAACCCCGTAAGCCCCAAGTTCTTAGCCTCGGTGTTCTCACCGAACCCTAAACCCTAAACCCTAAACCCTAAACCCTAAACCGTCCTTTGGCCTCCGACCGAGGCTCCCGACGCGGCTCTTTGGAGTGCCGTGGTTTCTTCGTGCGGTGATGCGGGCGAGTGGCAGAGGCAAGAAGGTCCTGGGATTTCAGGGTTTAGGGTTTAAGGTTTATAGGGTTTAGGGTTTAAGGTTTGGGGTTTAAGGAGTGTTTCCGGTGTTTGGGCTTCTGGGGTCTATAGGATTTCAGGTTTCGAAGAGTCTTGGGGTCTCAGGGTTGGGGAGCCCTCTTTTGCAGTTCGCTTTGCCACCCTGACTGACTACAAGCGCTAGCCGAGTCCCAAGCGATACTGTACATCCCATATGCCCTCCGCGATCCCTACTTGCGGCTATACTTGCTATTGACTATGTCAATCGCCCCCATGAGACTCCGTGCAAGTCCTCTTCTTGTCACCGAGTTTTGCGGCGGGCACCCGACAGATGCTAGATCCTGCTAGATGTTTGGATACTAGGACAACAAGCTAAAACCTGAAGCCAGATTTCCCACATACAAACTACAGCCCTTGAGTTAAAGTTCCAACCATGATCGTCCAAATCGATGCGGCTCTTACGGAAACACTGTAGCATCACCTTCATTGCAACAGTATCGATAGCATTAGCAGAGAAAAAAGACTAGTTGCAGCCATCTCTCAATTTCAGCAGTTTTCCCCTGCAGGGCCTTGGTGCTCCTCACGACTGCGCAGCACGTCGACGCTGGTCTCTATGCGGCTGCAATTGGCGCCTGCCAGGCAGGGGATCGCCATGTAGAGAAAGCATTCAACTGCAACGGTGTCAGGGCTACTATGAAAGGTGTTTGTCACTATATGGATATGTCTAAACGGGTTGCTAACAGAACCAGGCTAGGCCTTGGGACTGTTTGGCTCTCCAGCTGTCAGATCGGAGCTCAGTGGCAGCTCGCGCTGCACTTCTTGGGAGAAATGCGGCTGGCAGGCCTCAACACAGAAAGCTTGGGGGAAAAGTATGCAACAAAGACTGCTTTTGGTTCTACATTGACACGTGTCCGGGATCGCATCTGCAACCACCGAACAGCTGTACCACTGGAGCAAGTTTCTGGATCGGGAATGTTGCAGCATATGGCCTATGGCACAGGATTCAGTCAATGACATACAGACGTCTGTTATACTTGTGATATCGGTCATAGTACATCTAGACTAGTCTTAAATGTTCCACGTCGTGCCATCTTACTTGCAAGAGAACAGCGCAGGGTGACATGCGACAGCCTTTCGCAAGGTGTTTGTGACGAGCCGGGCCTGAGGACGCGGACCAAAGATGTCCAAGCGCTTTGGCTTGTGAATATGTGGAGGTTTCTTAAGCTTATGCGTTCCTGCAGACGAGTCTTCATATAAGGGTCCTGGAATTTGGGGGGTTCCCGTTGGAGGTCCCATATGTTTTGAAGCTTCATGCCATTTGGGCTGCTGTAGGGAGGGGAACTCATGCAGGCCTGAAGCGATCACAAAGTCCCAGCGTCCTGAACCCTAAAGCCCGAACCCCCGCCACCAGGACAGCTCGAAACCCCGGTCGTCTAGAGAATCCAGCATCTCAGACAACATCGTTTGGAATCCAGTGCTGGGAAAAGGGCTCCGGTATGTTTCCCTTCTATCCAGTGAACTCCGCTTGGTTCCAAAATCCTACCAGCACAGGTTTTAGCATCGTGCCCGGCCATGTAGCGTAGGAGTTGATGTAGACATCACAGCGTCGTACACAGGTCAGTGACCGGCTGGTGGCTTTCGGTGCGGCAATGAGTGCTGCGGAACGGCGCAACTGGCACCATGGCACGAAATCGGTTAGTGTGCGGCATGCGGTCGACATAGCCCGGCAGAGGAAGGAAACTACTTATTTGCGGTTTCGTCCTCTTTGACTTTCTACGGAAGTTTAGGGAAGAGTTGCAAGAGACGGGAAGTGCGCTGCTGCGTGGGGGGCTCATTAACGCAGCCATGTGAAAGTGCTTTGCCTCCCTAACCCTCCAGGTACCTACTATATAGGGCCTTATAAGGGGCTCTAGTAATTTATATAGTAGGTAACTGGGGGGATTAGGGCATGTCCTCAATCGGAACCAAGGTTGTGGGCACTGCGCCTGGCTGAAAACCTGGGTCAGGAGGTACTTGGAGGATCATGGGACTTAGTAAGTAATGGGGGTTATAAGTATAATTATAGTTACCTTACTTATAAACCTACTTACTTACTAAGTCCCATGATAGTTACCTTAGTTATAAACCTACTTACTTACTAAGTCCCATGATCCTTTAAGTAGGGTTTCGCATTTTTCGGGCTGGATTTGGCGGCTTCGAGCTGGGCTGCGATGGAACTTTTGGGGGACTCTGTGAGATGAGTAATATAGGGGCCTACATAATTACCAATATCATTTTTGGGGGTTGCTTTTGATAATTATACATAGTAGAATGGCCCTCAAAACCCTCTTCGAATTAGTAAGGATCCTAGATTACTACTAGTTTGCATTGCAGCAGTCCTGTTTGGTTCGCCCTTCCTTACCGCTGTCACTACTTCGGGGTCTATTCAAATTTCGAACTAATGAAAAGTTTGGTGCAGGTAGTATGTCTGCACTTGGAGCTCTTGAGATAAACACGCTTTGAACGGTGAATCAGACTATACCTTACTGTATTATGTAGACGTATCCTGCGGTCTGCAAATGATACTCAATACAGGAGGAAAGGGAAAGTAGCTAGACTATAGACACATGAGCTGATGAACACTTTATGACAGAACTTTAAAACTACTGTGCAACCAAAAATCCAAACCAACAAACGCAGAAGCCAGATAAGAGCAGACGTGATGAGTAGAATGTGAGGGCGAGCAGAAATCTGAATTTCTATGAGTTCGCATGAGCTGATGATGGTCGGTTCATGCCTCAGGGCCTACGTCACAACATCATCACGCGGAGCGTAGCAGTCAGTGCCTGGGGCCGCGGGTATCGCTGGCAGCAGGTGGGGCTGTCAGTATGAATGCAGAGTATCTCGGCTGCGAGTGCTGTGTCGCAACTTGCTCGCAGGCTCAGGCCTTGCTGCATAGCATCGACCGCGAGTCGGTGCAGGCGATTGCATTTGTTCAGAACCTCTGGTGCGCCGGTGCTGTCTGCTGTTATCGGGCTTTCCACTCCTGACCTCATCTCCCGGAGCCGCGAGCGCAAGCCGTAAGTATCCGCAAGCGAAGGCCAATGTTTTCACCTTCACTGCCACCAGCTCAGCAGCCGAAAAGGCAGGGCCCGGCCTGTACACTCTACACTTGGTCTTCTCACTACGCACCGGAGGCGCAGCGGTGGCGGACGGCTGCAGAGCTGCTGTGTGTTATGGGCTCCAGAGTTGCAAGAGAGAGAGTAACCACATGTTCGTCCCTTGAGCCTGCCTCCATGTGCAAGCGAGGCTGCCAGAGTGTCCAGCCCAACGTGCAGGCATCCAGGGTGATTAGACTTCAGTTGATTTGCGAACAAGTTGATCACGTTCTCATAGAAGCCATGGCAGAGCAGGAACAGCATGAAAGTGCGGACTCATGACATGGCAGTCCTTTGGATCGGCACTTGGTCTGGATTCCGAAATCCCAGCTGCATCGCATGATGGCACCTCGAAAACGAACCCTTCTGGTTTTTATGGAGATATCGGTTCAACGAGCTCCCATCTACTCAGCATTTACCCCGCATGCTCTACTGGCAAAGCATGCCGGCGATTGAACTGACGAAGGCTCCCTGCGTAAATCCCGCTTTGAACGGAACTGAGCTGCCTGCAATGAGCTCGCAACCGTATAAACCCTAAACCCTAGACCACCACCCTAAACCCTAAAACCGAAGAAGCCCTGACGCAACCCGGAAGCTGAAACTTCGGACGGCGTAGGCGTTCAGCGCCCTTTGCAGCGCCTGGGCCGAAAATGGATCCTGGTGCCAAGCCGCGGCGCTCGTGCAGGCTCCATGATTGCGCTTAGGGTTTTTATGTGCTGGTTCTATTATAAGGCTTAACTTATCGGTGAAGCGCTTTGGGCTTTCGGGTTTTAGGGGTCAGACTTGTGGCATTGGTGAAGTACGTCAAAGGCTGCTGTTCGTCATATGAATCCATCTTTAGTGCGAGCATGGAAACTACTACTGCGCTGCTATCTCTCCATGGACGGCTGAGCTGAGAGTTGAGTGCGTGCGATTCCTGCTTCCGAAAGCCCTGCCTTGTTTATACATACTGCTGCAATTATCCGTATCTTTATCTCCTCTCTCTGTATGCTGGTAAGTACATAGATGAGTACATTTGCTGTCTGTATGTACCTCTCTCCGTGCACGGATATAGGTAAAGCAGAAGTGTCTGTATGTATGTATGTATGTATGTATGTATGTATGTATGTATGTATGTATGTATACATATAACACATGTAAGCGACATGGGTATCATATACGTAGCAGATACAGATGGCAAGCATTGCTATGCCTACAACCTCGTGTCTAAAGTTTATGTTGTAGCCACTCGAAATGAAGACTACAAGCAGCTACTGTGCAAATCCTTAGTCGCCGATTTGTTTGATAAGACTCACATCCCAGGTGATGCAGACAGCAGGGCCGCTGCCGAACCAATTCACATTCAACGGCCTGGCACGCGCATGCCAACGGGGCGACAGCTGGACCCATGCGCTGCTTGATTGCACCATGAAGACGAGTCAAGACCTAGAGAAGTGGATTGGGACTGCGACCATCTACCATTACTGAAAGTGATACAAGTCCTCTGATTTGCTTCCCAGTCTACAGCACGTGCTCACGCGAGCGTCTAGCTAGCTCGACTCTAGGGGCAAGAGATGAGAGAGGCTTCCTCGAGGTGAACCGTGAGCTGAGAGGCCCCAATGTTGAGAGGTGTCGTGAACTGAGAAGACCCAGATGTTGTTGGAGTCTTGAAGGCTTGGTGGCCGGGAGGTAGTGCTCGTAGTGAAGTTGAAATATACCAACTAATTACTTCTCAGACTACTGCTTCAACCACAGCGGCAACGACGCTAAAGAAACAGTTTCTTCAATTCTGCTGAGGTCACCTGCGACCCTTGCTAACGATGAATAGCAAGCTGTTGTTGCCAAATGAAAGTCATTTCTCAATGTACCTTTCTTGCTTCGAAAGGTTCCAACATGACAAAGCCCTTACTCCCACAAGGTAAGCAAACGACCATTCCTAAACTTAGGAGATCGAGCCGTTCAATGTTGTTGCAGGTTGTGCCAAGTCATATCCCCCCAGCCAGGCAGAGGATTAATTGAAGCACATCTTAGGCAAAGGCAGGAAGCCCGCACTCAGCCCTAGTTCAACCACGAAAGATAGGAGTCACATTGACTCTGACAGTGGATAGAGGGAGAGATCAGCGACATCCGCACGGAATCATCTACAATCTACACATGAACTGGCACGTGTTGTGTGATGCTGCGTCTTCCCACTCCCCAGGCTACGGCTTTTCGCCATGCTGGACGAGGACAAAGTCTGAGCACTGACGACTCGCAGCAATTCAAAGTGTCCGAGCCTGAAGCCGCACTTCCCTGCGAGGGAAGAGGACTTCAGCCAGATCTCCTGACCTTGGATGCGACCATCAAGGCTGAACAGCTTCTGAGAGAGTCGTGCGTGTGCGGAGCATGTTGGCGTGATTGCAGGTCTTCGAGACTGGAGGTCAATTGCGGCTCCTCCCACCTCTTGCCCATTCACTTCAGTTTGTGAGAACGGCAGACGGCAATCAGGACATGCTTTGATGAGGGCATCAGCATCAGATGTCGATGAACATGTTGCGACCATCCCACGGTCCTAGCCGAACACCGAGTGTCAGGAAGCTTTGGTTCTCGAGCTCTTGGGCCACGCTCTCTTGGCATCGCAGGTGCAACCTGCCTTTGACAGGTTGACCAGTAGGGTGTTCACAGATGATCCGCTGTTCGATGCCTTGCCCAGCTTGTTCCGTCCATGCAAGTTTATTGAACTTGTCTTCAGTGTCCACCTTGGGCCGAGCCAGGGAAGCATGAGATCGAATAGCTACTGTAGCTATCCCTTCAGGCGGCAGCCTTTGCCCGGCGTCGTGTAAAGCCCGCACTGCGCAGGCTACAAGGCAATTGCTCATTCTTGGCTTTTCTTTCTCCCACACGAACCCCTTCAAAAAGGAGTGGGTACAGTAGAGGGGCCTTTGACACAAACATACATCTGCACGGTTTCTTCTACATCTTTACATGCGTTCTTAATTCTGCCCTTGTTTGGTTGATCAATGCTACCACACTACCCAAACCAATTATGTCAACAGTTATGTTAGCTATATACAGGCAGCGGCAAGGACATGAAGCCAAAGTCCGAAACCTGAAGAGGGCAACTGGACGACGCTGGGCTCTTGGGCGTCAGGTTGGCTGCAGCCCAGCGACCAAGATTCTGTCCTCGCCGCGCAGTTCAGCCTTGGAGAACTGCACACGGCTCACGTGCCTTAGAGTACACGATGTATAGGGTTTTGCTGCATATCTTCCGTCACGTGTGCATGTCGCAGCTGATCAAGACAAGAAGAGTTCCTGCTTGTAAGGGGGAGTCAGGTGTTGAGGAGAACTTCCCTGTCGTTCCGATCTGCCTCGTCACGTGCCTCTCGGATTCATTTATTGTTGTGAACGTCGCAACATTATACAACACTCGCAACAGTGGATTTGTTCGAGACTTTCAGAAACATGCGGGATCCCGAAAGAAGAAAAATCTGGGTTCCTTATATGTGAGAAAGACCCGAAAACCAAAGCCCTAAGCTTCAACCCCATCTGAAGGGTGGGGGAGACTCGACTTCTCAGGCTTGGCTGCCAAGCGCCCGTCGTGCTGCGCGAGCCAGTGGCAGAAGCTCCCCCTCTGAGCCCATGGCCAAGGCCCCCGATAGCAGGGAGGGCGAAGTCCACAGCCTTCCAGACCGCAGAGAGCATGAGAAAGTGCAAGCTGGAGGAACTGCCGGCATCCATGGCGATACGCTCCGGGAAACAAGCTGCCTGGGTGAATTTGGGACGAAATCCAGCTGTGCCAGTAGAAAGCACTCTCATGTCCAGTCTTGAGTCTGAGTCCAACCGGTAATGCTGACTCAGAAGTTGAGAAGCCATCGCAGTCTAGAGCCCTAGAGTGGGTGTCGGTTGAAGGTTTGATGCACTGGTACAACACAAACTCTTGTGTCGTGTTGCTTTCAAGCTCAAACTCCGTGTTGGGTGTGGCATTTAGTTTATGGACTACTTGCGCACGGCCGCAGCTCCGCCCGTCAGCGCAGGTGCAAGCAAAAGGTATCCTTGAGCTTAGGAGAGCTCACTCATCTGCAGTTGCACAGAGATGAGTTTGGTCATCACGAACCACGATCAAGGGCAATTTGTGCTTCAATTGCGGCATGGGAAACAAATGGCGGGCTGGCTGCCAGGCAACATGGTGTTTGAGTATCCCAGGAACGATCGAGCAACCTTGAGCATGACCCGTCGAAATGTTGCTCAAATTGGACGATAATCCACCGAGCAAGGGTGAGAAAGGTTGGGGCATCAGAGCAAAAAACGTTTGTTTGCGTGTGCAAGGTGGACCGTAGGCTGTGATGGTGGAGCCTGCCAGCCCATAACATCGACGCGCTCTTCTTTGATTCTTCTGTGGTCGTACACATTCGATTCAGCTCTGGAAATCCAGAACTGAAGCCACGGGCAATTTTGCGATTGTTCATGGGGTCGGGATCAAGGGGCCAGAGGGTTTGCCACAGTACGGCAGTGGCGGAAGCTTTGCTCTTGCGAACTGGCCGAGCGAGAATGGAAAGCGTACACACGTGCGTTGCCGGCCACGATCGTGACAAGGCTGTCAAGCTCGCCCACGCGAGCTTGGTAGCCTTGTCGCAATCGTGGCCGTTTTCCGGCAGCACAGGTTTGTACACCGTCCGTTGCTCCTCCCTTTGGGATAATTTGCTGGGCGAGCTTGGCAGCCTTGCAGGCGGCGGAGGGGTGTATGCAATCAGAGTCGACTGAAGAGGCCGAAGGAAAGCATCAAATCGCGATTTCGGCTACGGACGGCGTCTGGGGCGCATTACAAGAGCGCGCCGCTTTTGCAACCGAGCGGTTGTCAGAGCCGCTTGTTTGTAATGAACTCGATCTCCGGAAGCGCGGTGCGCAGGCAGTGCTGCAAGCCGCAGCCATGGTGACTTTTGGCTTGTAAAATCACTGAATCGCTCTCGAAGTGGGATTCTACATAGAGGCTTTTCAAGCCTGACTCTGACGGAGTAAGGCTATAGCAATGTTATTATATACACATGCATACATGCATACAGACATGCAGACATACAGACATACAGACATATATATATATATATAGAGATACATACATATACATATACATATACATATACATACATATATATATATACTTCTTACATATGCCTTGGAGGCTTTTCAAGCCTGACTCTGACGGAGTAAGGGTATAGCAAAGTTGCTGTATACACGTGCATACATGCATACATACATACATACAGACAGGCATGCAGACTTACAGACATACAGACATATATGTATATATATATATACACATACATATACACATACATACATACGTACATATAATTCTTACATATGCCCTGATTAAAGAGATTTTGTCCGAAGAAAGAGCGAGGTAGGAAGCTACCTACGAAGGGACGAGCCGAGGCCGTGCGATGCCGTCCCTTTGGCCACGGTGGGAGCAGGTCAGGCCCTGCATTTATCATGACATGTTGACGGTTATTGGTACTATTACTACTATTAGTGTTATTTGGTTTTGATCGTATTCTTACTTTTATTATGTGCTTCTGCAGGGAGGTCTGTCACTCCCTTATTGTCGTGATCACGCAATCCTTTCGTCTAGCCTGAGAATTCGAAAGTTGCTCCCCATCAGGCGCTACGAAGACATGAAGCTGCTGATGCAAGTCTACGTGCTTTGACTTGCACGGAGATCTCAAACGCTGTAATCAGGCGTCAATGCTGGTGCGTGCCCGCCTCGGCAGTAGAACTCGAAGCAGTCACCAAAAACAGATCACTGTGTATGTATGTATGTATGCACGTGTGCATGTATGTATGCATGCATGTATGCATGTATGCATATATGAATGCATGTATGCATGCAAGCATGCATGCACGCATGTATGCATGCATGTGTGCATGCATGTGTGCATGCATGCATGTATGTA